GAAACGAGGTAACTTTTAATATATTAATTTTTTCAAGTTATATAGACATTTTTAATAATTGCTTTTTAATAATTGCTATTAAAATAAAAGAATTTGTAATAATTAAAGTTTTATATTATGTTGTCGTAGCTAAAAAATGTAATATTTTATTCTGTCTTAAAATGTTATGTTGACATATGACATTTTTGCTTTAATCCATTGTTGTTATAAGACAATTTTAATTTTCACAGTTAAATAGTAATTCATTTTAATTTGATTATTATAAAATATATAAAAGATATTCCATATGTAAGGTTAAATTCAACAATATTTTCATAAAAAAGATATCCATAAAATTTTCATAAACTAAATTGGCCACATTATAACCTAGGAACCATTTCAAAATTTTTGTAGCAATCTTTTATGTAAACAAAGAACATGTAAGTTTTTTTTATTTTGTATTATGTTATATAGTATGTTTCTTTTGTAATCTGTATTCTTGATACTGTTTGTTTGAGAAAAAAAAATAAACGTTTGATTTGTTTCTCTGATCCATTTTGTGTTTTAATTTAGAAAAGCCTCCTAATCCTTGTATGTATTTTAGATTTTAGGAAAGAAGAATTTTTTTCTTTCTCCCAGCAGGAAGTTTTCTTCAAAGCGGCGTCCAAAAGAAAAGAAAATAGCTAGAGGTAAATTTGTCTGCCATATCTTTGTCATGTCGTTTATCATGTCGTTTTTGACCCAGGAGATTTATGTAAGTATCCCTTTATTTTCATTTAGTAGATACCCCAATCCGACCCAATTTTATTTCAACTTATCCACGACCCAGCTCTCCAACAGCCAACTGAGTGCCGTACGCACTAGTTTCGATTTTTTTTGTTTGCCTAATCTTCTACCCCATGTTCTTACCCTGAGGTAAGCAAAATAGTTTCGTTACAATTTTGGTGCCCCCAACGTGTGGCATTCTTTTGGATTTTGATTCCTTTTTCCCAAGCCACTTATATGAAACTTTTTCCTTTTGAATAGTGCCTCAAAGTGTCTCACAAACAGTAGAGTATTTGTATTGTAACATGTGTATTATTTTATACCAACATTTGTATTTGTTATATATTAACATATGTATTGTTTTTTATGTGTATTGGTAAATGAAAGCAAACATTTGAGTTAAATATTTAAATATGAATTTTGATTGAAGTATTGATATTAAAAAGAATTTAAAAACAGTAGCAAATTATACAGTTACTGTTACATTTATTTTTAATTGATTCGACAAATCTTACAGAATACTCGGTTTTTATAATTTTTTATTTGTTCGGTCATTTTGAGTAAATGTGTGTATTTCTTTGAATGACTTTGTTTGAGTTGTGTAGTTGAGAAGTAGTGTTATACAATTTGTCTTCTAATTAACCCCATCTGTAGGCGTATTTAAATGCCATGGTTAATTAAAGTTGTTGTACGAGGAGTAGTCATTGTGAGTCAACTGATTGAGTTTTGGATTTCAGTACGCGGGAGTGCAAGTGAGACTTACTATCAGGTGATAAATGGAAACAAAAAAGAGGTTAGTCTTCGTAAGTGGGTATATTTATTTAAAAACACTTAAAAGGGCTACATCAAAAAAACTAACGTTTTTGGACTAAACAGTCCATCATCAGGTTTAAATTTTAAAATTGCTAGGTTCAAATGCCTGAGCCACCAAAATACATGGGTAAAAACCCTTTAAATTACATATAGTTGTAAAAGATTATACATCATGTTGTTAAAAAACTGTGATGTTCAGTATTAAATTAAATATGACTTCAGGTAACATACACCACTTCAGCCATGTATGTTACCTGAAGTCATATTTAATTTAATACTGAACATCACAGTTTTTAACAACATAATGTATAATGAAATCGTAGGCTTCCACTGCCAGAGTCAGAATTATAGTTTATTCGTCTTCCGGTTTGGACCGTGTCATTTGTGAGTGACCCAAAAGTAAGTTCATCTCGACGTTTTGCTACAATTGTATGTAGCTTCTTCAGGAGAACAAAGAAAAAGAAATGAAAAGACAGGAAAATGGGTAGTTAGCAACGGTAACTCAGTTACTCAACGCAACCAGAGGCGAATACTAACTACCAAGATGGGCATTTGGTCACAGTAACTCAACTACTTAACGCAGCCAGAGGTGAAAACCAAATGCCAGGACAGGGATTCACGTCCAACAGCTCAGAACACTAACGCGTCGAGAGGTGATCCCTGAGAGGGGATTCACTCCCCGCCTCTCGACGCGTTAGTGTTCTGAGCTGTTGGACGTGAATCCCTGTCCTGGCATTTGGTTTTCACCTCTGGCTGCGTTAGGTAGTTGAGTTACTGTGACCAAATGCCCATCTTGGTAGTTAGTATTCGCCTCTGGTTGCGTTGAGTAACTGAGTTACCGTTGCTAACTACCCATCTTCCTGTCTTTTCATTTCTTTTTCTTTGTTCTCCTGAAGAAGCTACATACAATTGTAGCAAAACGTCGAGATGAACCCACTTTTGGGTCACTCACAAATGACACGGTCCAAATCCGGAAGACGAATAAACTATAATAATGTATAATCTTTTACAACTATATGTAATTTAAAGGGTTTTTACCCATGTATTTTGGTGGCTCAGGCATTTGAACCTAGCAATTTTAAAATGTAAACCTGATGATGGACTGTTTAGTCCGAAAACGTTTGTTTTTTTTTATGTAGCCCTTTTAAGGGTTTTTAAATAAATATACCCACTTACGAAGACTAACCTCTTTTTTGTGATACGTGGTATATAGCCAGCTACAGGAATTGTTTTCCTTGTGGATTTTGATAAATGGAAACGGTTGTTCATTAAAAATTGTCATATTTTCTACTAGTTGTTGAGGTTGATTTTAGTTATTTTGTGTGTTTGCGTTCATCCAATTTTTGAAAAATGAAGTCTACTCAGGTTAATCATTTGAAATCAGGAGAGTTATTTTATGAGCTTTTCATAAGAGGTAAAAATGTCCCAAATAAGACAATTGATGATAAGAGAAAGATGTTAAGAGCTTTGTTGGCCATGGAGGGCACTTGGGCTTCAAGTGTAGTCGATTTGGTTAATAATGTAGTAGATCCTGAGAAGTAGTTTTGTGAGATGAAGTTGATTATGAATGATTTATATAGTAGTGCTCAATCAATGAATGCAGAATCAAACAAAGCTGATTTTGCTAGATTTGAGACAAGGTCTACACATTTAGATACCAGATTAGAGAATTTCACTATAGATGATGTTGAGGAAGATGTAATAAGGTTTGTCAATTAGTGTAAAGATGATTTGTTGTTGTTACAGGGTGATGTGTTAGAAAAACTAGAAAAGTTTGATGATTTAGTAAAACCATCCACTAGTAGCCCAGTCTCAGTCCCTGTAGTTCAAAGTTGTACAGTCCCAGCCCTAATATTACAGGTTACAACCCCTGTCATTATTTCTGATTTACATATTAAGTTCAATGGTGAAAGTAAAGCCCTTCCCACATTCTTAGAGAAAGTTAGAGATTCGGCTAGGTCTAGGAATATTTCCAAAGACATTCTGTTTCGTTCGGCCATTAAGTTATTTGAAGGTAATGCTGCTATTTGGTATAGGAGTGTTAGAGATAAAATCATAGCCCTACTCAAATCTACTTTTTTGCACCCAGATCCCTTGGCAATTTACTGCTCCTATTGTGAAATCCATAAACAGTTATGTAGAAATTTGGGTGGAAGGTCATTTCGACCTTATCGTTTTGACAAGACAAGGCAATTGTATGGCCAAAGATTTCTTCGATCACAGAGCTGGTGATATGTGTGATCAAGTCTGTCCTTTCGGGTAGGATATTTAGCAACACCATTGTGTTGAGTTGGATTGTGTCTTTTAGATCGGTGATTAGGTCGAATGGTGGGGTTGTTTTTTTCGATCGATAAGGGTTGGATTTGGTTGGAGTTCTGGGGTTGTTCTTGACTTTTCGGGCATCCTGACCTAAAAATCGCCTACATTTATATGTGCTGTTCGAGCGATAAATAGGGATTTCCACGTCAAGAGCCAATGGCAAAAATCGAGACGGGGCAATGACCATCGGAGTGCTTACTAGTTTACAGAATATTGCACTCTATGACAGTGAAAATACCAAAATGTCAAATTAAACTTTACATTAAAATAGTGGCTTTTTTCCAATAAAAATTGAGAATTTGTAAATTATATTATAATGCCACAAGAAAATAGCTTCAGAAAAATACCAGTAAACTAAATATACGAGAAAAAATCCAATATAGGAAGTCCAAAATATCTGGAAATCATTGAATCTTTGCTCTTAACATTATGAAAAATTAAAAATATACCAAGGAGCGCTTAAGTGAAAACATATAAGAGAATTTTATATGCACAATAGTACTTATCATTTACTGATGAGCTGTAGTGCCATAAAAAACTGGAATTAAGTAACTGCAGTAATCAAGAACAAACAAACATATGAGACCCATACTTACATGAAGCAAATCTGTCAAATATAAGGAATAGATAGAGTATACAAAATACGTTACAATGCAAACAATACAGGGAAAATTATAAAATTTTAGAGAGTAAGAAAGATCTGAATAGCTAGGAACGACTGTTTTTGCTTCATTGTCTACTTTACTCATAGTTGCTTGTATAACCAATACATACATGCATTTTGTGTTTAAATTTATGATCTTATGAACCTAAATTTAGAAATATATAGCCTTAGCTTGTACTATTATTATGATGAAAAATATTTTAAACATATGCTAAATCAAACTACAGAAGACGTGCAAAATAATAATTCTTGTTTTAACGCCTGTTCATGAATGTTATTTTATTATGCATATTTTAAATCTCAATCTTTATCATTTAAACTATACTTATTATATTTTGCCATATATTAGCAATTTAATTTATATCTTGATTTGGTAAATATAAATTTACACTATTCTACATTTCTTCTTTAGTTAAAAATCAATAAACAGACACTCTATATATAATATTATTATACTTACGTAATAAAGATTGGCAAATAACACCGTTTTATTCTCCAGTCTCAAATTTTTAGATTCTGAAAGTTTCCCAATCACCTGTTTACAGAACATAACAGCTGCAAAGCCACTACTTTTTCCTTCATTTTCACAAAATTTTAATCCTTCAAAAAGGTAGTCTTTTACTTTGACTTTGGTAAACATTCCATCGTTTTCGCCAAAAATAGACGGCAGCGCTGGTTCTATTAAGGACATAGCTTCAGGTTGTGTTTCTTCAATCTTCAAGAGTACACTCTGAAGCAAAAAATAAATAAATATTAGTAGAGTAATTATCTTTACCATAGTTGGTTTATTTAAATTTTTTAATTTTACATTATTTATTTCCCATTATTATGAATATATTATCATAATATCTGCACTTTATACTACCAAATACTCTGTTTAATTTTATCCTTATTCTTCTTTTTTCACTTCATAAGAAATTCTGCTAGTTCATTGGCGGATTTATACCTTTAGGAATCGTTGTCACTCCATTTTGCGCAATGGTCCGGTACTCCTTCTACCGATTGGTGATTTATCCCATACTATTTTGACCACACGGGTCTCACCCAAGATACTTATGTGGTAATTCTATTCTTTCTGCTGAGTGTACACTCGTTTATACACTGTACGTTACATGTTCCTCTAATCACTCTCAGGTCACTCCACTTTCCATCTCTCAGCGTATTTCTTGTAAATCTTCTCAGAACCCTCATCACCGTCGTTTCCAGTAGTGTTCATATTGTGGATATGATGCTTCTGATACGCATGTTATTATTGGTCTTAACACTGACTTTATATATTTTTTATTTCATCTCAGTGTTAATATGTCGGTCTGGCCATATAGTGTTAGTAAGACATCATGTCAGTCTATTTGTTTTTTGTACTTGATATCTCACTTCTTTCTTCAGATCTCCATATCTAGACAGTGTATTTCCTAGGTATTTTATTTCCATTATTTTTTTAATACCAATGTCATCGATTCCTAGTTTACATTTGGATGATTCTTGGCTGATTACTAAGATATGATTTTCCGAGTTTAGATAAATATTAAATTCTTTTGCTCGTATTTTAAATATGTGGACTAATCTTTATAGGCTATTTTCATCTTGACCTATCAATATTGCGTCTGCTTAACAAAGTATTTTACTTCTTTGTTTCCCATTATGTATCCTCTTACTTTGTTAACACTTTAAATTAATTCATCCATGATTAAATTAAAGAGCATAGAGCTTTATGATTTCGAGGTATATGTCTATTTAATATGTATGTTGTCTATCTATTCTAACTTCCGTTTTTTTGTTTTGGTAGATATTTTCAATAGTTTGTTTGGTATTTCATCTATACTTGCAGCTTTTCTGTTCATCATCTTTTCACCTATTTATTGGACTTCCAAAGTGTTTATGTTAAATTCTTTGTGTTTGGTAATTTTTAGTGTTTCCTCTAGCGTCATTTGTTCTTCTATATATAGCATGTATTCTTTTCTATATGTTTCGGGTCTATTAGTTCCCTTACCTCCATTCGCTAAATTATTTGACCTCTTGTTACAAACCTATATATTTTCTTTTGTAGCCCATAAAAATTAAGCCTCATTTATTAAAAAAAAACTTTGTGTAATATTTTTTTATTTTTTTTTTACAATTAGTGTAATTGTTTCTTGTCTTACTACCTTATAATTATCCTATACTTCTTTTGTCTTGATTGATATGTATTTCAGGTAAGCTTTTTTCTTTTATTTTGATTTTTCTTTTACTATTGTGCAAACATATGGGGTTATTATCTTTGGAAACGATTTATTTTTATTTTTCTTTCGCCCAGAACTTCCTTATATCAAGGTTAAGATATTTGACAATATATGTCCAGCTTTCTTCGATTCCATCACTGTATCCATCGATTATATCACCATCAATCATTTTATCCATTTATCAAAAATAATTAATTTATGGATAGTTTTTTATAAAATGTAAATATTACTTCTTCTTCACGTGTCATATTAGAATTGTCCGACTATGGCGATCATCATTACGAAGGTTTCCAGATCTTTTACTATATGGAATAATTATCCTGCATTTAGTATCTGAGTCTTAAATATCACTATGTAATAATAAATCTTGTTTGCCTTGAAATATTGTATCCAAATTTAGTTTGTAGCATTAAAAAAAATAAGTAAAAAAGTCGAAAAAAGTTAAATATAGCGGTTAAAATTTTACAATTGTAGTTAATTAAAAAAATAAATACATACATAGTACATAGAGTTTAAAATTGTCACCACAGTTTCATCAGAATAAATTCCAGAAGCTTCTTTATCAAATTCAAAACGTGTATAGGCATTATAAGCTATTTCGTCAGGTGTAGTCCATTCGATCTCGCCTTTCCATTTATAAACCCTAAAAGTAATGGTATATATATATATATATATATATATATATATATATATATATATATATATATATATATATATATATATATATATATATATATATATATATATATAAATTTTTAAACGAAACATAAATATACTAGGTGGTCTGATAAGAATGTTTTTATTGTATTTAATATAGTCTCCTTTTAACTTAATACAACGATTTCAGCGATTGTATAATGTCTTTAGTGACCATAACTTTTCCGTTCCATTAAGCCACTTTTGACCACTTCGGTCCACTTTTGACGACTTACGTCCACTGCCGTGCGTTCATTCTAGTCTTTGTGTGTAATAATGTATCCAGATTTCTTCAACACTTACCAATCGACGTCAGAAATTCAAAGGATTGCGTTTGTTAGGGTGCAGACACTGAGAAGTGGTAACGATCACGTTTCTAGTCAGTGACCGGCAACGCAGCAGCCACCGGAAAACGAATTTTTCCATATTTAAAACTTCGTTCAAAATATGACTAATGCTCTTTTACCTAATTGATGTGGCCTCTGAAAATTCACGCACCTTCACTTTACGATCAGCAAAACCATTTTATGGACTTTCCTAATATTCTCTGGTGTAACTGCATTGACTGTTTAGTAGATGAATGATGCAATGTAGATATACTGTCACTACGAAATTTACAGAACCAAATTTGTCTGAACAAGCATTAGTCTTATAATATATATCTAGCTTTTCTGCTGTTTCCTTAGCCGTTTTATTTATCAAATAATAATGTTTAATAAGAGATGGAAAATTGTTTTTCTCCATATGCCTAATTTTTCCAATCACATCAAATTTATACAGCTGACAAAAATGTACTAATGGCTAAAATCTCACGCTAAAATTTGAATTAATGCCTAAAAAGGTTAGACTTGCTAAAGACAACTTTACACTGAGAGTGTAGAATGTTTAAGACAGGAATGTGTATTTACTGGATTTCCCGCCATGCGTTTGGCAGCACAACAGGTCCTAGTACTGGTAAGTACAAAACCGTACAAAGATCTTTACAGCGAGGCTCTATTATGAATAAAACTACCTAAATAGGTTTAAATTATAAACTAGATGAAAAATAACTAACAAAATCAGACATTAAATGAAAATTAAAAGTATAACTGCCACTAAAAGATAGTAAAACAAACATAAAAATAAAAGATCGAAGGACTCAAATTTGATTCCTAACGATTCTCGAACGTCAAAATTTTTCATAAATGTCAGGAATGTTATCCCATCCAATTAATCAAAATATAAAATAGTATGTTTAATAATGTCCGATATTATATTCAATTTAAAGTAAACACAAATATATAAAGTTAAAGTTCACTTAAGTGTAAATTTCAGTTTTCTTTGTCAATGCTGTTCAATTTATATATGTAACTCCCTCTGTGGCTCAGTGGTAAGAGCGCCTAACTTTAAACCTAAAGGTCGTGAGTTCGAATCTCATCTGGGTGGAGAAATTTTCGTTTATTAAAAATTAATGAATGAAAATAATTTCTATCCACGTGCGATCGGTACTCACCGGAGGGACTGCAGACGTTTGGATACAATTAGCGTCTCTTATCAAAGACAATGACGTCGACTTTGCTAAGTATCAAGACAATTACTCTACACATACACTACACTAGGTACCTGACTGTACCATGCCAATGATCATAGTTGTCGAGGCATTAACTCAATAAATAAATAAATAATTTATATATGTACGTCACTCAAAAGTTTACAGTGAAACAAGGAATTGTTTAGAATATATATATATATATATATATATATATATATATATATATATATATATATATATATATATATATATATATATATATATATATATATATATATATATATATATATATATATATATATATATATATATATATATATATGTAGTTATTAAAAATTTTCTTGAGCATATTTTTGTTTTAATTAAAACTCAATTATGAATATTTTGATTTTTAATTTTTGTTCCTTAATATCTTTCAGTATTGGAGTTTCTTTCTCTTCTTTGTCCTCTTATTGATCATTCTCGTCATTTAAAACTTCCAGTATTCGTTAATACTTTTTCTTGGTTTCTACACTTAATTGATTTATACTTGGATTCTTTTCCTCAATAAGTAATAGTATTCTTTTTGTGAAATTTAAAGAACAACTTCTTTTTTTTTCGATACAGACATAATTATAGTTAATAAATTTTACAAACAAATTCATGGACAACAAAAAAAACTAAAGTTATTTCGATGAGAGACAAACAATTACCAACCTACTATCTACTTAAACACTTAAGTTTATTTTTAATAATAAAAAGATCTGTAGGTATTATTAAATTAAGTGTGACCCTTAAGTGTACTTTAGTCTAAAGTGAACATTAGTTAAGGTTTAGTTAGGCTGTCATTATAAAATCGAGCTTTAATTTTTATTCTATATACTTCTCATTTTAAAATTATTTTATATAAATGCAATGTCGGATTTTCACAACTATCCGTTTACAAATTGTATTAAAGTGTGTCAAAAAGAATTATTAGTAAGACATTTTAAGTTGGACTTTTCTAAAAGTGATTTCTAAATCAACATATATTAAATATGGCTGTTACATAATGGTAATGTCAAATCCCACAATTTGAGAGAGTGATTTCATAGTTTAAAAGCGGAATATCCTCAAATTTAAATGTACACAGCGGCCCTCGAAAACTACCCGTTTTCTCAATTGCAATTTGCGTTTTCTCATAAGAAATTACAGAATATATAAGTAGTATATTTATTTGTGCTTCTCTATAGAAGAGTTGACCAGGAGTTGTCGTACAGTGTAGCCAATTCGTGTTCACAAGTAGTAATTATGGTCATACAAAACCTGTATTCTTCCACGCAGCGATTATCACCGTTATAAAAATACCAAAAAACATGATTTTTTCAATAGTAAAAATTAATCACAAAATTGTAATAAAATAAATTTTATTTATATGTTCCGTTTTTTTACATATTTAAATTTATAAAATAAAAATCGATATTTTAAAACATTACTTTTCAATCTCTTGGCAACCTTGCGCTAAGCGACGGAGTTCCGATTCACAGACAGAGCTGTAAAACTTGTTTGACGGTAATGCTGATGAAGAAATCAAGTCATATATTGTTCAATTACATTGGCGTATCGGAAGATATGTATGTGTTCCATTTTCTGAATATATTTGTTATAAATTTGTGTTATTGATAATACGAGTGTTATAGTTTGTCGTTTTATAGTAAATTTTTAGTTAAATTCTGTGCTTATTTGGTTGGAGTTTCTGTTTATATTAAATTGGAACCTGGGTCTGTGATTGTAATGGATAATGCGCCATACCATAGCGGCAGACTAGAACAATTACCGACGACGGCATGGCGGAAAGGGAGAGTTCAAGAATGGCTTACAGAAAAGGGGATTGCATACGAAGAATCAATGCTCAAAATTCAGCTACTTGACATTGCACGGTTAAGGAAAAGTGAATATCTTAAATATGATGTGGATGAAACTGCAAAAGATTATGGTGTCAAAGTTCTGCGTCTACCACCTTATCATTGCGAACCTAATCCCATTGAACTTATCTGTGCGCAAGTGAAAGGAGAAGTAGCACGCAATAACAAAACGTTTAAATTAAACGAAGTTAAGGAACTTTTAATTCAAGCAATCCTCCATGTAACTCCAGAGAAATGGGCTAAATGTATAAGCCACATAATTAAAGAAGAACGTCGTATGTGGGAACTTGACACTCATATCGAAGTTTTACTAGAGCCAATTATCATTACACCAGGTGAAGATAATGACAGCGATAGCAGCACTGCATCTTCAGATTTAGACAGCGAATAATATTTTCTAATAGTTTAGTAAGATCTTCAGAATAAAAAAAATGAGAAGAACATAGCAAGTGTGTATAGTGTTTGTGTTTAAATAGAATAGTACAATGTTTCGTTACATCAAAAATTATTTTTATTTTGTTTTTATAGAATTTTATTTTGTTTTATAGAATTTTATTTTGTTTTGTTTTATACCGTTTTTAAAGTGTTTTGCTCATTTTATTTAATGGGACAATATGGCTCTTGGCGAACACCCATTTAAAAAAGTAACGCGCCACAAGACATACCTCTGGGGTGGAGTGGAAACTGTCTTAAAATTTGTTTTAAAAAAAATTTCATTATGTAACTCTTTTAGGACCGGTCGCGTCAAAAGACGTTTTAGCGTAACTTCTGCGAAAGCTTACTGATGATAGGTGGCATCAGTAAGCTTTTTGTAAAATTAATTGCTATTTATTACTTTTTGTTTGTGTGTGTGTGTGTGTGTGTGTGTGTGTGTGTGTGTGTGTGTGTGTGTGTGTGTGTGTGTGGCATTCTGTATTTTTAGGGGAATGTAGGGAATTACCAACACAAAATATGAATTCATATGTTTATCTACTGATGTTTCGATCTCTATATCCAGAGACCGTTTTTAATTATACAAATGATAGTAATATTTATTTTCTATGGCTTTTTGCTTGTCGTTCTGTATTTTTAGAAATAATGTTGGGAATAAGCCACAATATATTTATTCAAATGTTTAATTTACGGACGTTTGGATTTCTATAAAGAGACCGTTTTTAAACATACAAATGACATATATTTGTTTTCCTATATATTGTGTTTGTGGCATTCTGTATTTTTAGGGATAAGGTTGGAAATAAACCAGAATATATCTATTTACGTGTTTAATACACTGACGTTTCGATCTCTATTCCAGAGACCGTTTTTAAAGATAGAATAAAAAAAGAAAATAAATAATATAAGATTATAAAAATATATAATAATAAACAAATAAAAAAATATAACTATCATTTATATATTTCAACGCGGACTTTGGATATAGAAATCGAAACGTCAATAAAAACTTGTAAATAAATATATTGTGGCCTATTTCGAACAATAATATTTGAAAAATATAATATAATTAACGTTAAAAAAAGTGAGTGTACGCCACTGGATTTTCATACGTCTTTCCCCACTTCACCGCCTTTAAACGATGAATCACTCTTCTAAATTGTGGAATTTGACTATAGTTACAGTTAACAATTGGAAGAGTCCATTTACGTGACAAGGGGTGACCGTTATACAACATGTAATTTTTTAAACTTTATTAAAATCTCTAAAAATAATTAATAAATAACAAAATTACTTTTTTTAATTTTAAATATATTTAAATTTTAAAAATACAGGAAACAGTATGAATCTTCGCGCTAGTCTAGAGTACCGCCTACTGTACCACTTTTTATATTTTAACGTATAATGCAA